ATAATAAAATTCGATCATCTAAAACAAAAAAAAGTTCTTTTTTTTTACAATTTTTACTTCGTTACCTTTTCCATCCTCCGATATTATCTTAGCCTCGATATTAGATACTATAACTCCAATAGAACCTTTATTACGAAAAAAAAAAAACAATGTTGGTATTCCATATTATCTAAATTAAATCAAACTTTTTAAAATATCAAATATCATGATGCCTTGAACAATATTTTTCTCATCAACAAGAGAAACAAGTGGAGATGCTTCGGTGAGTCCTAAACAAATTTCAAAAAAATATTTTTTAATTAGATCACTTATTCTTTATATTATTAAAAGTATTTCCAAAAAATCTCAATTACCGTATCCTTGTTTGACGTGAATATTATAAATCTTATATATATCAGCCGCCAATCGTGTGCTAAGAGGAGCAGCACTACTGGTGATTGTTCGTAAACTTGACAAGTCATACTCCTTGACAATTGGACTTTTGGCTAATAATAGCAATATAGGAGGTACGAGGTGTGCATAGTTGACCTTGTAACTCTGAATTACGGAACAAAATGTCCTTAAATCGAATTTTGGAAGAAGTACTACTGAAGCACCCTTTTCCACGAAAAAAGCTGTGTTAGTAAGTTTCTCGATAGAAGCTATTTAATACTAAATTGACAGTTTACCAATATTAAAGCGAAATGAAGAAGAACTTGCAATCCATAAATATGAAAAAATGGCTATACAAGAATACAGTGTAGAGTTGATATTAAGTAACCTTGTTTTATTAGAAAAAAAACTACCCCGATCTTATAAATATAGCATACCAGTATCCCCATAAAAATATTGTGCGGGCCAAATTCTGTTTCAAATGAAACCATCTGTCTCACACTTGCGATCATGTTAGTGTGTGTAGTTTCGACACCTTTACTTTTCCCAGTAGTGCCAGAACTATAACATAAAAGTACAGTGGTGTTCTTAGACTCTTCTGGTGTGTACTCAATAGGCTCGAAGTCTCGATCAACAAATAATGAGCTACACGGCTGAAACCCATCGACCTCTTCATTACCAAATAAAAATACTTTGGAATGAGGAATTTGAGCCTCAGCAGCAGCTTTAGCGACCATAGAGACGAAGAAGGGATGAGTAACTATCACGGAAGTGCCAGAGTCAGATAATTGGAAAGATATTTCGGCAACGCTGCACGCTGGATTCATAGGGGTCACTTTTCCACCTGCAGGATTAAAAAAAAATTAGGATAACGAATTGGTAACATTACATATAGCGTTTTTATCCTATACTCGCCAGCAGCGATTGCGCCAAATAATACAATGGGGTAATCAACCTTTATGTAGGAATTTTTATTAACAAGATATAAATCAAAGAAAGAGAAAGCTTCATGTATTTCTTAAATTATTACCTGGTTCGGCGAAATAATCGCCAAAACATCACCTCGTTGAAAGCCAACTTTATCATGTAGTCCCGCAGCAAATCTCTTTGACTTCCTTTTAAATTCACCGAAGGATAGCTTTTTATCCGTTATTCCATCGACAAAAATCTCTTTATCTTCGGAAATATTATAAGGATTACTCGTTACATGTTGATAGACTCCAATAGATGGAATTTCGATATCAGGAAGTTTTGATTTGAAAATCATATCTTATCGTCGATGTAAAAAAGCCTTCCGAATTCCAAAAGTAAATCATGAAGACTATAGTTACAAAAAACGGGAATGATTTCTTGTCTAACAAAACATGAAATTCATTTGTGTGTACTAATGTGAGAAAAAACTTGTACGTTTCGAGTTTATTGCATAATCAGCTCATTCTATTTCGTACTCTTGTCCAAAGTAAAAAAAACAAAAGCCCCGCCATCGTTTATAAATAAACGAAATAATCACTTTATTTTAAAACCAATCGCAATACGTAATATTGCATTATTCTATAATGATTTTCGACCTTTTGACTTTGATTATTAATTTGTTTTTTTTAACCTGCAATCAGGTTGGAGTCGTTTATTTATTTATTTAATCATAGAATCATTACAAATATAAGAATACATGCAAAGTACAAATCTTCTCAATCCAGCTCACCCGTTAACAGCTAAAACCTCTAGATGTGATTTGACTTCGGATTATTAATTTTCAACTATTGATTTTTTATTATAATTTATTTATTTGATTTTTGATATTATATTTTTTTTAAAACCCTTTTTTTTTTTTATTAAATATATATTGTTTTTACTTTATTATTAATTTATATTTTTTATTATAATAAATTAATTTATGATTTACTTTAAAAAAAAATCTTTTTTTTTTTGTAATTAAACAAGTGTATATGTTTATTAAATTTTTATAAAAAACAAATAATGTATAATACATTGTATTGTATAAACTATTTTACTGTCTTGAATAATTATTTTAGATTATGTCTTTAGATATAACTTTAGAAATAAAAAAAGTTGCTTTCTTTATTATCTATTTACTTATAGAATTTGAAGTTAAAGATTATTATTTACAATTTATCATTATAATTTTAAAAAAAAAAATCTTTTATTATTTAATTTATAAATACTATTTTAAAAATATTTAATAATAAATCAAAATAATTATAAATTCATTTTTTTTTTTGCAAAACATTTTTTAAATTGTAATTTTATTAA